TGGTTCTCCAGCCTCCATTGTCTCTGCACCTTGGCTGTCAGTCCTTGCCAGGAGCACCTGTTGCTCAGGAACCTGCTGGGACAAGTCTTCTGCCTCGACCTCGACATGCTCCTTCGGATGAATTTTTGGTGTTAGCCCTGCGGCCCCACGCACCAGGGTAAGAGAGACTCTCGCTTCCTGCCCTGGCCCGAGGGACCGACTGGCTGGGCCTGCCTCCTGCCCAGCTCACCGGTCATGGAAGAGAGTTTGGACATACACTCTACTCTTGCCTGATGAAAAAAGTGTGCAGATCCCAGGTTGTTCCTCTCACCTTAGTGGAGAGTCTAATGACTTATGGGTTAGGGATAGAGTCTTGATCCACAAGTCGGCTGGAAAGCTCTGCCCTGTTCACTGACTGCCCCTTTCCCTGGCTAATCTCTGGTACCTAATGGCTCTCAAACACAGAGTGGTCGTCATATCGTGAGGAGTGACCAACATGCCTTCACTCCCACAGTCACACTGGTGGAGTCAGAATCATCCATGTAAAAGAGATAGCATTATAAATGTATTTAAAAACCGTCTTGGGGTCGGCCCCGTGGCTTGGCGGTTAAGTGCATGTGCTCCGCTACTGGCAGCCCGGGTTCTGATCCCAGGCGCGCACCGACGCACCGCTTCTCCAGCCATGCTGAGGCCGCGTCCCACATACAGCAACTAGAAGGACGTGCAACTATGATGCACAACTATCTACTGGGGGGCTTTGGGGAAAAAAAAAAAGGAGGAGGATTGGCAATGGTTGTTAGCTCAGAGCCGGTCTTCCTCAGCAAAAAGAGGAGGATTAGCATGGATGTTAGCTCAGGGCTGATCTTCCTCACACACACACACACACAAAAAAAACCGTCTTGTTATGCTGGGAGTGAAATTTCCTTCCTAAGGAATCAGGTAGTCTTTCTGTGGTCTCACTAATCTCCCTAAAGTAAATACCATTTGACTTTACAAAATGAGAGTGTTTTCTTTGGGAGCTGTCCAGTAGCCATCCCCCTCAACAGTCGAGTTTGGCTCACCCATAGTCTCTCAACCAGAACTTTCCATTCATCAGCACTTCTGCAGCCTTCAACACAGTGACAATTGAGACTTGGGGTCAGAACCCCAAGGTGCCCTGCAAGATTCCCAAGTACACTGCATTTTTTGAGTGTAATTAAATTATGTTTGGGCTAGCATAATTGTTAGCCTGGAAGCTGTTCTTTACTTGATTGTGATTCCCGTATGACCACTGGTAGTTCTTTACTCAGAGTTACCTTGAAGGCAAAATGTAAAAAATAGTGATCATTAAATAAGCTGATATAAGTCAGTAATTTCTATTAAAGACATTACAAATCTTTAGTAAATTGGGCTTTGGGGATATTGGGGAAAGAAAGAAATATGCTTATTGAACTCCTTGGGCCTGAGTTTTTCTGGAAATGTAAAATAAGGGCTTGCAGGAGAGAATAGTTCAAGTCTCTTCTTGCCCTACATCCTGTGGTCTTCCTAAGTAGCTTGAGGTTTATAATTTCTGAGATGTAATACATGTAGACTTTGGGGAATACTCATTTTTGTCTAATTGATTGCTAATGTCAGGTATCTATGGAAACAACCATCCATAAGCATTCAAGATAGGACATTTATTCTTTTTACTCTGTACGATTACATGATGAGTGTAGTGTGCCTTGTATGATGGCTTCTTGCAAGACCTGCCATAGAGATGGGATTTCTTATGCCTATGAGAGAAGAGAGAGTACAGCTACTCCTCCTTCTGCCTTGAGCTACCTCCACATTTTCGAAAACCGATGGTCCTACCCTTCAAAGCCTCATAATTACTCTTCCCAGATCATTGTACAAGTGTCGAATATTAAAAGTCATCTCTCACAAGTGGTCTTTGAGCTCAAAGGCAGGTTTATTTTGAACACCTTCTCCTGTATTATTTATGTCTTTATACTCAGGTTTACTTTAACATTAAAATTTTTTGCATTTCTATAATATTTTTTCTGTATTACTATGAAAATTCTCAGAGATGAGTGCTGGATTTTCCCCAATATGAATGGACTTCCCTACCCGTGGTGGAAGACAATTTCTGGGATGTGAAGAGGTCCCTGAAAGCTTTGCCTTTTTTTATTTACAGAAGAAGCTTGATAGCTTGTGCAAAGAATAAACAGTCTCTCTTTGGTAGTTGAGTCAAAAGATGGGAAAAGCTCTCTCTCTCTTTTTTTATTTTGTTTGTTTTCCTCAAACAAATTGTAATTGGTGTCCAACATGTCTTAATCCAAGAATGTGACATTCTAGCCTGTGTATTTTTTTCATTTACTTGTGTATTTCTTTTTCCATTTAACTCTTTGCATGTGCTATTTACTATTCATTCATTCTTTATTCCAAATAAATATCTCAGTCCTCACTTTTACCTGGCACCATAAGGCCCTAGGGTTATCTTGGTGACTGAGGCAGATACATCTTTTGTCCTGGCAGGGCCACTGTCTAGGAGGGGAGACAGGTCGCCAGACGGTTACAGCATAGTGTGGGGCAGTTTTAGTGGGAGGACACAGGGCCTGTGTGATCTCAGAGAAGGGACATGTAACTCAGATTTGGAGGTCAGAGAGGTCCTCTTGGAGGAAGTAACATATAAACTGAGACCTGATAGATAAGCAGGTGTTAAAGCAGAGGGATCAAAAAGGGGGAAGAATGTTTCAAGGAGAGAGAAGAGCAAGTGTGAGGGTGTTGCGTGCCTGAGATGATTGCAGAAAGAAAACTAAAAACTGATGTTATTCTCACTCAGGCCCAAAAATCAGATTTCAAAGAAAGTCCTTGCAATAGTTTGACTTCATTTCAGCTTTACCAACTCAGAACCAGAAGGACAATGCAAGTTCTAGGTGTGTTGATGAAGGCAGGGCAAGTCATTTGGCCCCAGAGGGGTAAGTTGGGCACTGTCTGAAGTTTGCTGAGGAGCTGTGTTCATCAACATCCCCCTTGAACTGTTTATGGATGCCTATCTGAGCAAAGAATTACAGAGGGGAAGTAATGTAGACTTCAGCTTCTCTCGTACAGAGCAGTGGACCCTCTGAGCCAAGGCACGAAGGAAAGTCAAATGCAGAATGTTTATTTCTGGAAGCAGCTCGAAGCCTGGACTGTGTGTCCTGACTTCCTTTGGGGTGTCCCAGAAGTCAGAACTGAATTCTGAGCTTTTGAACGTTGGTCACCCACATTTGACCATCGACAGCTGTGGACTAACTGATGACCAGTGACCACCCACATGGGCAGTGGGTGAGCCTGAATCTGGAATCTTGGGGAATAAATGACTGATCTTGAGCAATGATTGTCAGCCCTGGTTCTGCCTCCCCATATAGGGGATAATGTTCACCTGAGGGATGTACTCCTGTGAGCTCACACGGATTTTGATGATCACTCCTCTCCCCCAAATACATTGTGGGGAAGTAAAGAGGACTAGGATAATTCATAATGGCAAAAATTCTTAATGGCACATCATCAGGATGTCCCTATGGTCCATGGGTTAAAACAGTGGTTGTCAAAGTATGAATCTAAGAACAGCAGCGTCAGCATCAACCAGGAACTTGTTAGAGATGTAAATTCTCGTTCCCATTCCAGACCTACCGAATCAAACTCTGGGGCTCAGGACCCAGCAATTTGTGTTTTAACAAGCCCTTAAGGTGATTCTGATGCAGCTGAGAACCACTGGGTAAATAAGACAGGCTATGGGTAATGAGAAAATCCTGTGATTTATATTGATGGGCTGCCTGTGACGTCTATCCCTTTTTCTCTACTTAAGAAAGCATCTTGGAATGCCAGTGAGTGAGAGTGATATCATTACAGGGACAGCCATGAATTTGCACAAGTTTATTAAACTATGTAAACTATTGTTAACTTTGGTACTTTATTGTCATGTTATTAATAAACAAAAATTAGACACAACAATGGGGATACCGCAATTAAGTACTGAGGTTCTATTATTGCAGCCAGAACAGTGGCTTTCATTTTTTTTTTTTTTTTACTACACCCTACACTAAGAAATGTTTAAATTGCTATCCAGGAGACATAACCAGAATAAATATTTCGTGAAATAACATCCTTGCTATATTTTCTGTGCTGTTCTATTAAAAGTATGCTAGTCTCAATCCATTAAATTGATCTCATGACGTGCTAATGAAATGTGACCTGCAGTTTGAAAGACATGGCTATAGTGAGCTGTCTGCATGGACCTTGTCTCTAGAGCAGGAGAGGGGTAGGGCTGGCGTCACCTCTGTGTCAGACAGACTTGTCTTTCCGTCTCTGTTCTGCCACTCTTAGCTGTGTGACCTTGGGCAACTTACCTATGTTCTCTGAGCTTTACTTTCCTCTTCTGTCAACGTGGATGATAATATCTACCTCACAGAGTTGTTGGGGCAGTGACTGGCAGTGGTAGCTACTCCCTTACTTAGCACTCTTTTTCAGTATATCATCAGTTACAAACATTTTTGTGGTAACTACCACAAAGCAGCATTTACCAAATTTTTTCCCATACTGCAATGAGTAAGTGCCCCCTGCAGTCTATGCCTTCAGAAATATTTTTGAAGTAATTTTATCTTAAAAATGCATCCACATTCTGTACTCTATTCCAAAATATATTCAAGTTTTGATATATATTTTGGAATATTTTATTTTGTTGTAAAATTTAGTCTCCCTGCCCCAAATCCTTGAGAGCACTGAGGTTGCAGAAGATGCCCTGAGTGGCTGCACGTACCCCCAGCATAGCCCTGGGCAGGGGCACTTGGGAGCGTAGACTTTATGGTTGTGTTTCTGTGGGAAGATGCTTGTTAGACTTTTCTTGAATATTCTTACCTGTTGGTGATTAGGCGCAGCATCTTCATGTATGTAGCTCTGTAAACTGTCCTCTCTGATCACCCTTGGACCCTGGGCAGTTAGCATGTGGAATATGGGATTGGTCACCCATGAATCCAGATGTTGGGTGACCCAGCTAACGTCCACTTGTCTTTCTGGAGGTCATGATCGTGGTCGGCGGCCAGGCACCCAAGGCGATCCGCAGCGTGGAGTGCTATGATTTTGAGGAGGACCGCTGGGACCAGATTGCTGAGCTTCCCTCCAGGAGATGCAGAGCAGGTGAGCAGCACCATCTCTCGTTTTGCAAGCTGCCTTTCCCAGCGTGTCTCTGCTTGGTGCTGGAAGTCACGCGCTGCTCCTTGTTTCCCCAAACATCTGTGTATTACAGACTCCTTTCATTTCCCTTCCCCACCTGCCCGGTTTCTACCTACACCTTCTGGGTTCAGTTCTTACGTGCTTACGGATTTCAAGCTAATCCAAGTATTTGTTTGAATCAAACAAAAGTAGAAAAACAAATATGAAAAGAAATCCAATGAGTCCCATAATGACTTCCAAATATCTGAAGTTGGAGATCACCTTTTGTGGTGAATTATTCATGTGCCTGCCTTGCTCCCCCATTGTCCCTCACTGATGTGAGTAATTAGCCACCTGAGATGACCTTGGTGCCTTGGTTTCCTGTGCCTCAGGTGTGGTGTTCATGGCTGGACATGTGTACGCTGTGGGTGGCTTTAACGGCTCCCTGCGCGTGCGGACGGTGGATGTGTATGACGGTGTGAAGGACCAGTGGACGTCCATCGCCAGCATGCAGGAGCGCCGGAGCACGCTGGGCGCTGCCGTGCTCAACGACCTGCTCTATGCCGTGGGGGGCTTTGATGGCAGTACTGGTAGGTGCTGGACGTGGTCCCCAGCCGTCCCAGCCTGGGACACACCCTCCATACAACTCTGGTTTGCTCAGTCACTTCTTGGGCCAACCTTCTGTCCATCTGTAACTACTGCCCCAAGAACATACCCATCTTTCCTCCTCTCCCAGCTTGGCCTTCCTACATGTAGAGTATGTAACTGCCCATGTGCTGTCATTTCTAGGGCTCTAGGAAGGACCTTGCCCTCAGAAGAGGCCCTTTTCTCCTTTCCAGTGTTTGGGAACCCATTTGCTTAGAAGACGAGCCTTAGAAAGAGGGTGTCTCAGGACTGTAGTCTAAACCTTCTAATGAACAGATGAGGGAGCTGAGGTTCAGCCGTGGGAAGAGACTTGACTCAGGCCACACGGTCTTTGTCCATTGCCCTTCCTACTGCCCCACTGAAGCTTTGCAAGGCTGTGCCACTGCAGAAGTGCCCTCTTGCTTCTGGCTTTTATCTAGCTTCAAAGTTCGAATCAGAAACTACTAGTGGATATGGACTTGGAGAGATGATCTCATCTTTCCTTGTATCTCCAGGTGGATATCGCTGTAGACAGTAACTCTATTAAACTAAGATGATATCCTTTGGCCCCCAGTGATGTGAAAAACAGTATTTTTGACTTATCTGAATTTTTATTTTTGTCTTCACAATTGGTAACCTTTCCTAGCCTTCTCTTTGCCTCACTCATATAATTCCAGGGTCTATAGCCCCTCTAGGGGCTGCTTCTAGCGAGCAGGACCTGGGAATAAAGAGAACAAAAAGGAAGTGAGGCATTGTTTCTTTTAGGAATTGCTTTTGGCTGTTAGTAGAAAACCTGACTAAACTATGGCTTAAACAAATGTGAGATTTTGTTTTACTCATGAAACAAGAAGTCCAGAGGTTGGCAGTTGCTGACTTGATCCAGTTGCTCAGTGATATTGGGGCCACATTCTTTAAGAGTCTCTTGGCCTTATCCTCATGATCACAAGATGGCTGTTATGGCACCATTCAACACATCTGTGTTCCATGTAGCAAGAAGCAGGAAGGGGTATTACTTGTATCAGAAAAGCACAGGCTATTTCAGAAATCTCTGCCAGACTTCTGCTTAGGTTGCATTGACTTGGTCACCCCTATCTTCAAGGGAGTCTGGGAAGGCAAGTTTTCAATTTCCAGCTTCTAGGGTAGAGGAAAACAACGGAAAAGAGAGTTGGAATAGGTGTTCAGTGAGGTGACCTCAGGTATTTATTCCATTCTGTAGGTTTAACGATTTATGTTTGCAGGGCAGTTCAGTTATACCCCGTGTCCTCTCACAATGCACTCTCTGAGTCAGGTCTTAGTGGACCCCTCAGACAGACACAGTACATATGTGTTTCAGGGAGGTGCCACAGGCTGCACACTGAGGCAGAGGTGGTGCTGAGCTGTACACCCGGGTTCCCGGCCCCCAGGTCTGCACTCTCCCCCCATCCTCACTGTTTCTTGGCACAGCAGGGTGAGGTCTGGCACCATAGAAATCTCATGAGTCTCTTGTCTCCCAGGCCTAGCGTCAGTGGAAGCCTACAGCTACAAGACCAACGAGTGGTTTTTCGTGGCCCCAATGAATACGCGGCGGAGCAGTGTGGGCGTGGGCGTCGTGGAGGGTAAGGAGCAGCAGTGGGTGGCGGCTGGTGCCCTGGCTCTGTTCTTCCCATCACTGCTGAGTCAGGTAGCAGTATCCTGATTTAACAGATGAGGAAAGTTGAGACTCTGAGAGGTGCAGCTGCTGGCCCAAGGCTAATAAGTGAGTGAGGTGGGCTTGGGGGAGTAGGAGCCTAGAGGGGAAGTACCAGCCTGTCACTTTGGCTGCTTGTCAGTGGCTCTGTTACAGGTTGGGGAGGGGAGAAGTGTGGGGAATCCAGAGTCTCTATATAACCCAGGAGCATCTTGTGGAGGGGTGAGAGTTAATTGTTTAATTAATTTTGTCCTCATATTTATATGTTGAACATTAACAGAGAGCTGAGTGAGGAGGGACCAACATGCTTTCACATGCTTTCAACATGCTTTCTTTCTAGGTCTGAGTAGTCACTGCAGGGCAGGTTGGTGGTAGAGTCCTACTCTAACCAGGAAAGGTGTGTGGGGTGAGGCGAGAGGGAGTGGTGAGGTCTGGGGCATAGCTAGGCAGTTTGTAAATGGCTTTTACATTCGATTTCTCATTTTGTTCCCAAAACCCTTCTGAAGGAGATAGGAAGGACTTAGATTTTCTCCATTCTCCAGAAGGGGAAACTGAGTCCCAGAGGAGTAAGTGATATGCCTCATGTTAGTAAATAGCACAGCTAGTCCTTGAACCCAGGTCTTCTGACTCCTAACCCAGGGATCTTTCTACCATGCTACACTCCTTAGACCATTAGGAAATGCTAATAGGGACGAGTTTTATAAATATGTGTGAATTCAATGGATTAAAGCGTAGAGCATTATTTGGACGAGAACATTATACTTGCAGGACAACACTGTCCTGCAGTGAGAATTTCGCTGGAATACCTGTGCAGACATGTACACAGACATTCTCTCTCCTGTGCATACGCCAGAACACACGCACGTGCTTCGGGGAGAGTGTAGCATGCAGTGAGTTAGACATTAATGGAAAGATCCTTTTCTCTCACTGCATTTCTCGATCTGTACCAGGATTGTGTAGTTTAAATTTTCATTTAAAAGTATATTATTCTCACATCCTCAACAAGTCATCTTAGTGAGTGCAAGGATTTTGTCCTCCTACCAAGATAAATTGTTTCTTGCAATCTCATCCTCCTGGTGGAACAGAAATTGATTTGTCTGCCAAATATAAGTGCTTTGTCTAGCTACCTTCCCATTTCCCGCCCTTGTTCCTTAGCCAGGAATATCAGACAATAGAGTAGGGGTTAAAAATAGCATATCCTTGTTAATAGACTAAAGGAGAGACCTTGAGTGGGTATTTTTTCAGCTGACGCAAGGTTGGAATGGTTGATGGGGGTTAGAGGAGGTACCTTCATGGTGGTAATTTGAAATACTCCCCTTGACAAAGGTTTCTGTCAGCATGTTCTGTATGTGGGGAAGTGCTGTCTTGTAGCATGCCCTGTGGACCCAGAGGACAGACTGGGAATTCGTTTATCTTGTCCATCTGAATTTGAAGCTCTTTTGGCTGTGGGTCGTCCTTGGGCAGCAATGAGTCCCATTTCCAGCTTTGATGAGAAAGTTGAGGGAGAAGGTTCCGTGGACTCGGCTTTGCCGTGGCCTCGTAGATATATCTCTCCACTTTGTCTCCACAGTACTTCCTCCCTCTCATCGTCTCCTTACCATGGCTATATAGTCTGAATGATACTGGGAAAGAAGGAATGCAAGTCAGGATCATTTGCTGCTGGCTGCCTAGAAGAATCCCTACTTCGGAAAAGGGCCAATGAGGCTTGGAGATTAGGCGGAAGCTCCCAACAGAGCGGAGAGGGTGTATTATGGAGAATAAGGTTTTCAGTCTACTGGGGCTGCCCTCAGGTGCTTCCTGTCTCCTCCACACCCCACTCTTTTCCTCCCCCAGTGGCTTAGGCTTTGATGAGTGGTAGGCAGCTGAGTGGGCAGGTTGTTGCATCCCAGCCGGCACACACTGCAAGAGTGTGTGGTCTATACCCTGGAGGAGCTGCTGGGTCAGAATTTTTTCCTTCTGGCTTGGGTGAGGGCAGAACCAGGGAGGAGGTGTCCCTTTCTTTTAGAAGTGCCAGTTGAGAGGATTGTGGGGCAGAAAACAAAACCAGGCTCAATAATAGAAGAAGAAATAATTTCACATTTGATGTGGCAATAGTCCTGATAGTAGAGCATAGTTTTGAGCCTGAAAACCTCTTTCTAACTTAAAATAATTGCAGATTTTCACATACTAGTTGTACTCTTGGTATCACTCCATTAAGAAAGCACA